TTTTGAGAAAATCTTCTCTGGTTTCACCTATTTGATTGTTTGATTTTTTATTGCTTTATCTGATGTTATTGTCATCACCATCTTGGCATTTGTGTTTGTGATGTTGGTGGTTATATAGGAGTGGGTTTTTCCCCTTTTTCTTTGATGCTTTCATTTTATGTATATAATAATCAACTCAGAACTGCTGAGCTAGAAGGGACCCTATGGATCACTGAGTCCAGCTCCCCGTCAAGGAGGCATGGTGGTGACTCAAACTCCCAACCTCTGGTTCCACAGCCAGATACTTAAACAGAGCTATCCTGCAGTTTGTATCTTGTTGGAAGCTGCCCAGAGTACAGCGGGGTCTTGACTTGAGAACTTAATCCGTATTGGAAGGCGGTTCTCAAGTCAAAAAGTTCTCAGGTCAAATCTGCATTTCCCATAGGAATGCATTGAAAACCATTTGATCCGTATCTGCTCTTTTCCGTCCATAGAAACTAATGGAAAGCTGCTATTCCGCCTTCGACCACTAGAGGGGGCTATTTTGTTTCTTTTTTTCTTAGGTCAAGAAAGGTTCAGGGAAGGCAGGGAAAATACAGTCCAGGCAGTACCAGGCAGTCCGAAGACTGTCTCCCAATCCACTCTCTAAACTCTGGGAGGAGTGAGGAAGCAGACAGGGACCCTTTTCACTGGCCAACAGTTAACTGAAAGTTCTAATTTTGCACGTTCCCGGCCTCCCACGTGGTTTTTTTGCAGTTCATAACTCAAATCTAAGTATGTAAGTCAAGTCAATATTTTCCTATGAGAGTGGTTCTTCAGTCAAAATGTTCTCAACTCGAGCCGTTCTTAAGTCAAGACCCCACTGTAGTGGCTTGCCACTAGATAAACAGGATAGACATCCAATCAATCAATCAATTTTCTGTTTCATGGTTTGTTTTCTCCAAAATACCTGATTTGTAAGTCTACTTCTGATAATTCTTTGGGCTTTGGAGGCTCAAATATCTTCTTTGAGAGGGTGATGTGAAACGAAATGATCTTTATTCCCTATGTGCCAGTATGAAACCAAAATGGCACCATCCACACAGAAAAGCATGTCAGGAGGCCTGACAAAGCACCAAGGTTTGAAACAACACCTTTTTCAGGTCAAAAGAATGAAAGGGGAGGGGCAGAAAATCATATGGGATAGAGAATGGCATTGAATATCCTGAAGGAAGACATGGTTGATTGTTGGCGCATTACAGGAACACTCTGTATCACATATTCTGCTGCAGATCACAGCTGTGTGTATGCAGCGGGGGGGGCAAGTGGTCTGACAGAGATAAAGACAGAGAGAATAACTGATTGGATACACATTGTCTGTTAATTGAACAGGCTTAGAATAGTAATCTTAGAACTGCAGAGATGGAAGGGATCCTATGCATCAGCAAGTCCAGCTTCTGTCAAGGAAGCATAGTGATGAACTGAACTCCCAATCTCTGGCTCTGCAGCCACTTAAACTGGTCACTGAGCTATCCAACAGTTCTTTATCAAATAATTGATTAAATGACAGATAGCCACACCCACCCACACACCTCCCTTTCTAGGGATCTTAGCCGCCTAGAGTGGTCCTGATCCGACCAGATAGGCGGGATATAAATTAAAAAAAATAAAAAATAATAATAATCTTGCTAATATTCAAACTCTATCCAAAGATGTTTAATTGGAGGTAAAGGTAAAGGTTCCCCTTGACATTTAGTCCAGTCATGTCCGACTCTAGGGGGAGGTGCTTATCCCTGTTTCCAAGCCACAGAGCCAGCGTTTGTCCATAGACATTTCCCATGGTCACATGGCCAGTGCAACTAGACACAGAATGCCATTACCTTCCCACCGTGGTGGTACCTACCCTGTTTCCCTGAAAATAAGACAGGGTCTTGTATTAATTTTTGCTTCAAAAAACACATTAGGGCTTACTTTCAGGGGATGTTTTATTTTTTTCATGTACAACAGTCTACATTTATTCACGTACAGTCATTTATTCACGTGCAGGGCTTATTTTAGGGATAGGGCTTATACAGTGGTGCCTCGACTTACGAACTCAATATGTTCCCGAACTCTGCTCGTAACTCGAAATAGTCGTAAGTCGAAGCACCATTTCCCATAGGAATGCACTGAAATGCAATTAATCTGTTCTGGCTGAAGGGGGAAAAATCACAAAACAACAATAACAACAACAACCATTGCAAGATCCATCAGAAACGCGATTAATCCGTTCTGGCTGAAGGGGGGAAGAAAAGCAAGCAAAGCATGCAAGACCCATCGAAATGCAAAAAAAGCAAAGCAGAAAGCAAACAAACCAAGACCGATCAGAAATGCAAAAAAGCAAAGTAAAAAGCAAACAAATCCCGCAAGACCCATTGGAAATGGGGAAAAAACAAAAAAACAAATCCCCCAAGACCCATCAAAGCATTGAAAAATAATCTCACCACCCAGTCCAAAACCACGCTGCAAAACCCACCCAGAAGAGCTTTTAAAAAGCAGAAAGCAGCACCTTACCTTACCAGGCAGCCTGAAGCCTCCTCCGATCGCACTCACCGTTGGGTGCGAAAGAGCTACAAAGAAGCAGCCTCTTTGCCTACCAATGGTTAGCAATTTGAATTCCCCGCCTTTTTTGGTTGTAACTCGAAGCTCCAGCCACAAGTCGAAGCAAAACTTTGCGGCCGGAGCTGGTCGTAACTCGAAATGGTCATAAGTCGGGATGTTTGTAAGTCGAGGCACCACTGTATTACGAGCACCGTGAAATATCCTACTAGGGCTTATTTTTTGCTTTTGAACTGCTAGGTTAGCAAGATACAGCCTTAATATAATCAGATTTGCAAATTGAGTCTATATTTATTTTCTAATGCCCATTCAAAAAACAAAGAACACTAAATGCAAGATATGAAGATGACGAAAAATGCATGCTATGACAAATAGCCATTCTTCACTTTTCCAAGGTGCATCTCTTCAAAAATATATTCTAGTTTGATCCCTAGTTTTGTAAGTAATTATTTCAGATGTCTGGCAAGAATAGTGTTCTTGTTTGATAGAAAAAATTAAAGTGGGCAAGAGAAAGAGGAGTAAAAAGCAAGTGGTAGGTGTGGGGGAAGATTTAGTTCCACCTACCAACAGGTGAAGGCATCCAGTTGTCTAGGGGGTGGGTCTTTTTTGCATCCCCATGGTGGAAGCAAGTTACAACAAACCACTAAAATCCTGTGCTTAAGTAATACTCAGTATAGCACTATCTGTGTACTTTTAAGATGAATCTGTTTATTACTGGACATCATTTTCATTAAATACACTTTAGTACAAGAGCTTTTCCATGTCAGGCTGAGAGGCTGGTCACATGATTCACAAATAAAACTTTTTACATTGCTACTCGGTCATCTCTTCAAATCCAGCCAAGGTGCAATAGGTCTTTATTTACTTATTTATTTATTTTAAAGCAACGAATATTGATAACAAAGTGCAAAACAAGAATCACTATGTATCTGTACAAAGACATCACATTCAAATAAAAAAATGGGAGGGGGAACTGAGAAAGAGAGCTCCAAACACCAGGTCACAGTCGGAGTGACAATATATTTCTGTTGATATCTAAATCTTCCTTTAGACTAGAGGAAGATCTAGAAAAATAACTATATACATATTTCTATGTACATTTACTATAGCTGTATATCTGTGAAGATTCTCAGTCACCCAGGTGTGGTTAATTGGAAGTTGAGTCATGGCAACTGGACTTCTTCCTTGTTAGCTTGAAATATTTCAATACTCTTCCAAGCAGCTTCTTCAAGAAGCTGCTTGGAGGAGTAGCGGAACGTTTCACCCTAAAAAGAAAGAAGCCCAGTTACCATGGCTCAACTTCCAGATTTACTATAGGTGGTTCATTGCACTGGGATGAGTACATTTGAAATAAAATTGACTTGTAATGCAATTAAAATCCATAGTGAGTTTAACTGCTGATTTACAAAACATTCTCAGCTGTTTATTCAACATTTTGGTATTTTTAAGTAACAGAAAGATATCTAAAAGCTGAATGTACGTCTCTGAAGAGGCTTGATTTCTGGTTTCGTTGATCTTCTTGTCAAAGAGCCCTTTTATGGACAACAGCAGCTGCTCCTGATCACAGTTCTAGCCAATTGTCCTTCCTAAATCTTTTCCCAGCCCCCCCAAAAAAACCTAACAAAAAAAAACATAGACCTGGCTTTATATGCATAGACAGTAAAAATAATATAGAACCATCAATTCCCAATTCCTCTCCTGAGACATATGTTTAGAAGATGGCAAAATAGTCACTTGGTTGGCTTGTGTGAAAATCACAGTGTTTCCCCTGCAACATATTTTTTTTTGCTTCTTATTTGCAATGGATGTATAAAAATTAAATTAAAATGAAGGCTTTTAAAGGATCTCTTGAAACAGCTGCAGGTACTATCAAACCTCCATATTTAGTGACAAGCCTCATTACATGCTTTCTGGTCTCACATCAACACTTGCCATTTATTCACACCGAGACAATCTTCATAGTCAACCCCTGACTCAGTAATGTCATTGTTTGGTTTCTTATCTTCAGATTTTCTGAATGCTAGTCACAATTAAACTAGTCACATGCTAGTCACAATTAAACTGTGAAGGACCAAGCTAAACTACTCCAAAGAGCAGAGCAAAATAAAGTATGGGTGGCCTTTGGATTTCCAGGATTTAGAGCTGAGGGACAGCTTCTAACAGAGCATGCCATACTCTGAGGGGCCAGGAAGGACATTTTGCATCAGAAAGACATAATATATTAATGGAACAATCTTATACATGTCTACTCAAAAAATGAGTTCTATTAAGATCAGTGGGCTTTACTCCTGTTAAGTGTGCATAGGATGACAATCTGTGTCTCTGTAATGGCTAGATTTAAGTTAATGAACCTGTTGATGGATGTTTTTGCTAGAAGCAAGGCTGGACTGCTTGACCTAAGTGGAATCCATAAAATCATAAAATTTGGAAGGAACATAGAGTGGAGATGACACAGTTCAAAATGTTCTGATACTGCATCCATTGTAATATTCATTAAACATATATAAGTGGCTTATGACTTGAGGGCAATTGACCCCACCTCCAAAATTTGGGGCTAAGGTATCCATCCCCGTTTAATGAACATGCCACCTGTTCCATCACTGAGGTGATATGCATTCTGCAGACCTTGATTAAAGTAACTTCTGAATTGTAGTTTGTGATCTGTAGGTGATACCAAGACAGATGATTTATAGTTAAGACTCTCAGTAGACAGTGCCCTTTAAGAAAAAGAGTTAGGTTCCTCATGTAATATGTGATCCTGGTACTTCACAAAATCTACTGCTCTGCCCCAACAACTAGGTGAAATGAGAGAATATTGGATAGGGATGAGGGTATGAAAAAGCTTCAATAGTGCTCCTTATACCAGCCCAAACAGTTGTTTCAAGTCTGCTCTTGTAATGGTCAAAAAGCAACTCCTAGATACTAGAAATATGCAAAAATATGCAAAAAGAAACAGCTTTCCCCTTCCAGTATTTTTATTTATCCATTATTGTTTTATACAGCTGCCCCACAACAAATTTTCTGGACGGCTCAAAAAGAAGCATAAAAATTAAAACGTAGCATAAAAACAATAAAATCAAAATTAGTTAGAACACAATTTTTAAATTGAGAGAACCAAACAAAAAAACAGGAAAAAAACATAAATTGCTTTAAAAGCATGGGTCAATAAGAAAAGGAAGTGCCAAGAAAATATATTATGTTATCCTTGTGCTTGGGCACAGGAAGTCTACACTTAGCGGAATGCTGTCATATACTTTCTTGCCGCTATGGGCAAGTTCATGAGTTGAATAATTTTGTTGGGCCTTTAAAATCAATTGGGGATTTTTTTCCCCTCAGTTGCTCCAAATGAACGGCTACAGTCTATGATCTGGGCAAGAAGCCTGAACCTCCTCAGATGACTCAATGAAAAGTTAGATCTCATTGAAGATGCAATTTTCAACCCAAATAATATGGTCTTTTCTCTGCGGTATCATGTAATCTCAATGTGATATTTGCATTTTCAAGCTTATTCTTGAAAATAGTATATAAAACAAGTGGGAAATGGCAAGGGATGAGGGATTTTGATTTTCTTTAAAAATTACTGTAAAAGAGACTAAAAACAGACCAATCCACTATATAACTAGTCACAAGTACCACTGGGTGCAATGGTATGTATTCCCAGGTAAATGTGTATAGCTTTACAAGCAGCTATAGTGAACAAACCCTTAGACCCAAGGCAAACTCTTAAACCCAATCTGAAATAAGCCAGCAAATAGGATGATGTTATTGAGGCTGTTTTTATGCACTTACAGCACAACTTTATACATGTCTACTTGCAAGTAAGTCCCATCACTTTACAATGGAGCTTACTCCCAGGTAAATCTATATAGGATTGCCACGTCAATAAAGAATTAGATTTTTAGGATTTCTCCAATTGTGCAGAACTTCACGCAACTTAAATACAAAACTCCAATACGTAAAAAAAATTAAAATATACCTAAGGAAAATAGAAAGTAAATGAATTTTGGTTACGTAGCATACCATATCAACCTATTGATCTCATTGTCCCCTATACAGTAAGAATATATGTGTAGTGTACAAACATTTATACATATACACACAATCACACATGTCTGCATATGTATAAATAAAATATTTATAAAACACATATACAGCTAGATATCTACTGTGGCTTTATACACAATTTATGTAAATGCACATGTGCACACACATAATGTGTATTACATATATGTGTGTGACTGTAGCATAGTCAAGAAAGATTCTCTTTTTATTAATAAGCCTGATTGTCACACTTGCTTAGTGTAGAATGTCAGCTGAAGTTATACCCGTAACAAATATGTACACAGTAGATTATTTATATTTCTTTATCCTTCATAATATCTTTCTTTTTCTTGATTTTCTTTTCAGTTTCCCATACTTATAGCCACTTGAATGAACACATCCAAATGTTTAAGCATTAGCTAGTTAACACCTTTCCGAAAACAATAGCAGCTTTTCATTCACCAAGGTCCACATTTGCAGTACAGGCCACATTTTAGCCACATTGTACAGAACACTGGCTGTATAGAACATTTGGTCCTTTAACATGGACATACAGTTATACTAATGCACACTATATTATAACACAGTATTTTTAATTACTCTATTATGTTTTTCCAGTAAGGAAAAAAAAACCACACACCATCTGATGACATTTTGCATTTGTTTTGGTATACAATCTTTCAGCAATCATACAGCATACATGGTTATTTTCAAGATCAAATCATTTTTAAAAAATGTGTACTGAGATGTAAAGAATGGTACATTTTAATGAAGTTTGCTTCCCTTTCTCTGGAATTACCAACCTGTGGTTCTTTCTCTTTCATGAACAGAGCAGAGGTTGTCAAATCTTTGTAGTCCAGCGTTTTTATTATTTTTCTCCCATATTTTTTTCAGACCTGAGTTGTGATGATACCCACCCTGGTAAGAAGCAGGTGCAATACCAGTTTGTCCAGTGTGGAAAGGCGAAGTACTCTTGAGGCTTCTTAAGATTCCTGTACTTTTTAGCTGAGGTCATTTGTTTGTAGGCCCTGTCTGTTTTACAGTTTCTTGTTGATTATGGCTGAGGGATTATGATATACAGCCACTAAATTGTCCCAGTATCTATTTCCATTTCAGCAGGGGAGGGGAAGCTTTAATTACTAGTTCTGTTTATTTTTAATAGAGTGATATCATTATAAACATGCAAGGAAAAAGTAATGTAAGGAAACCTGTATTAAAGCCTCCCTCTGACCCTCAAAGAAACACTGATAGAAATTACAAACAGGAATCTATTAATTAACACTGGAATAGAATAATCCTGAATAGCATTTACTCATGAATACTAAATTATCTTGGCCATGTAGCCAAACACTACTGATATTGTATTAAGTGCTTTCAGTTGAAGTACCTCCATTTTGATTCCATGTTACATAAACCAATGCACTCTTTGCACCACTAACAAAGCGTTTTGTGGAAGCGATTCAAGTCTTTGAGAAATGATTGCAGAACATACTACTGTATTTTGATGGATGTGTCTTTTATTGGTCTCTGACATCTCAAGTTTTATTTCCCATATTTCTCTCATATTGGAAATGAACTAACTAGAAAGACACTTAAAGCAATAAATAAGAAAATGGGCAAGACTGAATGTTCAGCATTTTTTCCTTTTCATATTAGTTCTTCTCAGCCATCACTGAAATAATTTTCAAACTGTATTTGATATTATTCATCCTTAGTCATTAAAAAACCTGCTCAACTCTTATTTAGGAACTAATATATATTTATACGTATATATTTATATATGGCTTTAGAGTTACATTATTATAGGTATCATTCACTGACTTCTGTCAATAATATAAGAAAGTCCAACTTCACTACTATTTAACATTTTCTATTTTACTTTAGATTTTGAAAAATAAAAGATCAACATCTTTCCAAACTGCCAAAGGCGAGAAAGGGTCTTAATAAATAAGAAATGCAAACTAAAAATATATTAAATTATTATGCGATCACTTAGAAAAATAATTGCTTAAAATTTTAAATAAAACAATAACAAAACATTGATACGCAGTGCGTTTATGATCCCATTTGTTATTTAAAAATACGCCCCTTTTGCAGCAAATTCACTTTCATCCTCAGAGGAATAAAGTGGATTTACTTTTTCTCTTATCCTAAGGGATCATAATAAAAATGATCTGACGTGTATATCCTTACACCTTCTCCATTTGTATGTGATGAGCTTGCCAAGTTCAGCCTTGCAGCCACACTGAATGTACACAATACTGTATCTGTCAACCTTAAATCAAAGGATACAAATATATAATAGCAGGAATACAACCTCTCAATCAATCAAAAACTGGTTTTGAATTCTGGGTCTTTATATTCTGTCAAATTATAACCATGCTATTTTCTCTAGAGATTTCTAGGACATGTTCCTTCATACATCTGTAGTAAACACTTTAGCAGTGTTATACCATCCTATTCCATCTGTATAGATGAATGCAGCTAACAACCTTCGTACAACTAAATATATGCTTTCCTTCATTAATTTGCTATACCTATTTGAATGTACAAAGAGACAGTTTTCAGCTCAAATTCCTGGGTATTATTTGAGAAGGACCATGCAGGGTGGGTGGTTTCAATGGGGTCAAAGGGATGGGATCAGAGAAAGGGTAAAAAGTAAACATAGAAAGAGGACAAAGGTAGGAACATGCTGTCAAAATAAACTTCCCTCCACATCTATGTCTCATTCCATCTAACCAAACCTCATGTTTTAGAAAATGGTCCTATAAATTTTTGGTACTTCAATAGGCCCCAGCTCTTGCCTGGATTATCAAAGACTAACTGGAGAACAGAAAAACCACTGGCAACAGAAATCCCCAGGGTAGGACAAGCCTGGAGAGTCATAGCTGAGCACAGAATTACACAATTTTTGGGCAACGCAGTGACACTTTTTTTTACTATTCAACACAGACATCTATCAATGTAGAAATGGCAGCACACTGAGAAGGGCCTTTACACCTGTATGAATGTTTCCTAGGAGAATCTTTTTAAACCCTTCCCTTTCCTCTAATAATTTTACATTATGTTGATACACTGGAAGTCATCTGATCCTATAGTATCTCCAAAGAGTGATTTACTCAGCATGCAAATTTCTTTCCTTCTGGCTTGATCTCAGCTCTCTCCTCCCAACACCCTCCATATCCCTTAAACAAAGCTAGTCTTCCACCTTGATGCCAAAGCAAATGAAGTAGAGGTGAATCCACAGAAGCTCCAGATATCCATACAGTAGAAGTCACAAAGTTCGAGTCATGTTTTTCCCTTTTTTATCCAGATCAAAGGCATGAATACAACAAGGCATTATTAGTTGTGATGGGCAAAACTGAGTGTCAATATAACAGATCATGTTGTTAAGGCCTTTGTCTATGCAGAGTTATAATAATGCAGAAGCCTGATTGAATAGGAACTGATGGCAGCGGGGGAAGGGGGGACAGAGGAACAAAAAGAATGAAGGAGAGAAGAAATACATGTCAGTAATGTCATAAAGTCAATAATCTGTCTACAGAGGGAGAAATGCACATAGCTTGCCCTTTGAAAGCTTCTCCATTTCTTTGTACGTAATACTGTCAAGAGTTAAGAAGACATTTTAATGGAGTTTAGTGGTAATGGAACACATTCATTCACACACTCCATAACAGGATGTGCTGCGGGAGTTTCTATCCTAGAATATCCAGGTAGACGGGAGAGGCCTTGGCCAAGTTCTGAAGGAGGGAGTGTATTTCTTTGATGTTGAGCCTCATATGAGGCTCCCGCTGCCAGCACCCCAGCATCAGATCATAGACTTCCTTTGGGCACGTACGAGGTCGCTGCAGGACACGGCCTTGAGTAATGCACTCGATTACCTGGAAAAAGAAAAAAAAGGGGGGGGAAACAAGAGACAGATTATTTATTCTTTCATTGCTGATGCATTGGACAGTCAATATATTCTAACACCACCACCCCCAATTTATATTTGCCTAATATGTCTGCACCTTTTTTCCTCCCTTCCCCTCCATGACTTTGGCAAATAGATGTTAAGTTTCTGGGCCAAAAAAAAATTATTTTTTTTTTGTTAAGCCCCACAACCTGGTTGTTTTAAATCACATTCGGTTGTATCCAGTGTTAGGTTGGTGGAAAACTTATAAGAGGTAGCATTCTTCTGCTAGTGCAAAGACGAGCAACTCTGGCTCTTCAGCTATTGCTGAACAACAGCACCTATAATCTCTCACCATTGGCTATGGTGGGTTGTTGTGATGGAAACTGAAGTCTAACTGCTGAATGGCAGCAGTTGCTCATTTCTGTATTATTAGCGAAACTGGAATAACTAAGGCAACTAACAACAGTAGTTCATGGTTGCCCATTCGGTTCCGCGTTGACTTCAAAGTGTTAATGCTTACGTATAAAGCCCTAAATGGTATAGGGCCTCGATATTTGACGGAACACCTACTCCCACCAAGATCTACCCATATCACTCAATCGAGTCAGGAGGTGAGGCTGAGGAGCCTGACGCCGAGGGAGGCCCGGAAGGAAAAAACAAGAAACCGGGCCTTCTCGGCGGTGGCTCCTCGCCTCTTGAACAACCTCCCTCCAGAGATTCGTGCGGGCCCGTCGCTGGGTATTTTTAAGACCCAACTAAAAATTTGGATGTTTAAGCAGGCCTTCCCTCCAGTTGACACTTAATTTTTCCTTCTTCACTTATCTTATGTTATTTTTTCCATCTTGAAGAATCTGTTTATTGATTTATAATTTTTTCTCTATCTTGGTATATTTATATGTTATTTTTATTTGTTTGGAAGCCGCCTAGAATGGTCGCAACGACCAGATAGGTGGGGTATGTATGTATGTATGTATGTATGTATGTATGTATGTATGTATGTATGTATGTATGTATGTATGTATGTATGTATGTATGTATGTATGTATAAATAAGTAAATAAATAAATAATGGACTGTACAAGGACTTGTGGAATTCCTTGCACCTGTAGACGTTGTTGACTTTACACTTGCACAGCAAAGAAAATGAGGATTCAGGACACTGTGGAAGCTTTATGGTAGAGAAATACACCAAAGAATGTCATTGTTTGTACAGTAAGATATACCTCGTTGTTTGAGAGCTGATACCATGGCTGTTTGCCATATGTAAAGATTTCCCATAGAACAACTCCAAGGCTCCAGACATCACTTTCTGTGGTGAATTTTCTGTACATGATACTTTCAGGAGGCATCCAACGAATGGGTAACATAGTATGTCCCCCAACCTGGGTGAAAAAGTTGGAAAGAAGTTAGGGAATATGTGCACAGGGAAACAGACGTGTTCTGTTTCCTTGGCTAGTTTATGTCTATTACAAATAGGGGATCCCTTGTTCATGAATTCTGAAATCTTCATAATCCACATTAGACCAGATTATTTGCTACAAAAACTGTTTCCCCCCCAGCTGTGTGTCAGAAAAATGTACAATGCATATACAATGTTTTCTCTCACAATTTGTGGTGTGTGACTCCAGAATTAGACATGGAAAGGAACTGATTATTCCAGAGATAGTCAAGAAGCCACATGTACCTCTTCTTTTAATACATTTTCACAATTACACCTTTGTCGACCTTTGCGGGGCCATTTGTTCTAGAAGTGGATTTCTTAGAATGGGGGATTTGGCCCAGAGTTTAGCCCATGGTGTTCAAATACCATGCTTAGAACATGTGAACACGTACAGAGCTACTGAGCTATTTTTAGAGAAGAGCATCTGTACCTGTTCATGGACATGAAGCACTGTTTTCTCAGCTGTAACTCGCTGCTACTTTCACTAAAGGTTAAAAAGTTACTCTTATTCTTAAATGCTTCCCAGGTTGCAGGTGGTGCCCTAATGATGTATTGATGGAGGTTGTGTTTCTCCTTTTTGAGCCCAAAATATGTGAAACATATCAAAACCATAGCACAGCTCATGACTGGCCATGTTATAAATTTGTAGGGCTCGAAACAACCCTAAAAATCATCACATCAACCCTCTCCCAAAGCAGGAAGTGAACAAGCAAAGTGTCCCTGACAGATAGCCATCCAACCTTTATTCTAAAATCTCCAGTGAAAAAGAACCTACCACCTTCCAAGGTAGTCCATTCTATTTGTTTAACAGCTCTTACTGTTGGGAAGTTTTTTTTGGTTGTTTGAAGCCATTTGTTTGAATGATGCCCTCTGGAGCCACAGAAAACAAGTTTGCTCCATCTTTCATTTGACAGCCTTTCAAGATTTGAAGACAGCTCTCATGTAACCTCATAATCTTCTCTTCTTAAGCTAAACATAGTCACCTCCTTCAACTGCTCTTTATACAATTTGGTTTCCAAAATCTTTACCATCTTCGTTGCCCTCCTCTGGACATTGCCCAGCTTTTCAGTACTGCTCTTATACAGTAGTATCCAGAACTGACAGAGTATTCAAGGTAAAAACTGAACCAAGAAGAATAGTGTGATAATATTAGAGCCTTCAGTTTGGACATTATACTTATGTTGATGCTGCATGAAACTAGCATAGCTTTTGCGGGGGGGGGGGACTACATCTCAATGATGGCTGATGTTTAGCTTGTGGACTACTAAGACTCCTAGATTTTTTCATATGTACTAGTGCTAAACTGGATGCCACCTACCCTATATACATTCATCTCATTTTTACTACCTAAAAGTAGACTTTTGTGCTTTCTCCTGCTGAAATTAACTTTGTTTACTTTGTTCTGTTACTCCAACATGTTGACTCTACCTTCTGAAGTATAAGTTATTGTAGCATTCCCCATTTATTAGGTCAATGGTTCATGTTTTGTTATGTAATGGTTCGTGCATATTCATGTTGCTGAGAGGCAGAGCTGGGAGAGATGCTATAAGAGATGGAGTCAGAGAGTCAGGGAGTCAGTGGCAGAGCTGGGATCAATAAGAGTGGCATGTGAGAGAAGGGGATAGAGTGTGGAGTTTGGGGAATTCTGAGGTGTAATTAGAATTAGGAGTGTACTACCAATTAGCAGTCGTAAGATTGAATCCACGCGACAGAGTGAGCGCCCGTCGCTTGTCCCAGCTCCCGCCAACCTAGCGGTTCGAAAGCATGCAAATGCAAGTAGATTAATAGGGACCGCCTCGGTGGGAAGGTAACAGTGTTCCGTGTCTAAGTCGCACTGGCCATGTGACCAGGGAAGATTGTCTTCAGACAAAACGCTGCCTCTGTGGCTTGGAAACGGGGATGAGCACTGCCCCCTAGAGTCGAACACGACTGGACAAAAATTGTCAAGGGGAACCTTTACCTATTCCTACCAATTAGAAGGTTGTTGTTAATAATAACTTTACCTATAGAAGATATTCATGAATCAATTTCAATCTCTGTAATCAATAAACAAAATTTCTATTTAAAAGACCTTGAAGTGTGGACCTGAATCTTCCTGAGGTAATGGTGATTTAGTGATCGCCTGGTGGCAGCAGTGTAAAAGAGAGGATTGTTTGCCTTCATGTGCTCAAAGTCTTGATGATCAAGCAAGGGGCCATGAGGGTGAACACTACATTATGCATTTCAATTTAGTGTCATCTGCATATCTGATGACCATGCCCTCTACTCCATCATCCAAGTCATTTGTAAAGATGCTATACAACACCAGTCTCATGACAGAACCCAGCAGTACCTCACTTGTGATTTATCTCACAGTGACAAGGACCCATTGATGAGCACTCTTTGAGTATGGGCTACCTAACAGTTGTATTTTAGCTCACATTTTACCAGTTTGGTCACAAGAACACTATGTCCAATATGAAACCAAGAACATTCTCTCTCTCTCTCTCTCTCTCTTCTCTCTCTCTCTCTCTCTCTCTCTCTCTCTCACACACACACACACACACACACACACACACACACACACACACACACACACACAAAATTTATGAATATTGCATTTTTAAAATTGGTAATGGCACTTGGTTGAAACCTAATATCACAGGACTAATGGGAGGTCTTCAGTAAGAAGCTGATAAGACACTGGTTGAGGATCTTCTAGTTCTGGATTTCTTTTATCAAGCTGGAGGCTAGAACTGATAGCTGACAGGGTTCCATCCAACTCTGTGATTAGTACAAAATCAATAATTGAAATTGTCTCCTCCTTCCCACATCCACTCATACACAGATGGCTCAAGCAAGTCATACTGGACAACATTCAACATCACACACATGGACTTTTGCTTGTAGAAGGGAGCAATGCATCCTTTCTCCCAGCTCTCTGAAGCAGATTTCTGCTGAATGTTAAACATCACTGAATTCCCCCCAATGTTTCGGAAACACCAAAAGCCACAACTGGCAGATGTATTTTTCTATGCAATTTGTAAGGGCACAAAAACTCTGTGATTTCAGACTTAGCCATGTTTACACTCACATATCTAGGACAACATGGGTGAAACAGAGCCTCTGCAGCTGCTCTCTGGTATTTTGAGACCTCTGGAGCTTTCAAAGTACATTATGGATTGCTATCAAGGGTGTTAGTATGAGGATGTGTAAAAATACTCTTAAAGGAATTAATATGATCTGTGGCTAAGTATGTAAAGTATGGTGTTAATAATGCATTACCAATATGAATCCCAGACACAAACATGGATTCAATTGCTGCCCCTTGCTCTAAGAGGAACTGAGAAGGCACAGCTCTTCTTCACTTACTTAGTGGAAGGATGATCATCCATTAGAAATTTAAAATCATGTTTTTAAAAATCAGACTCTTAGAAATACATAGCTACACACCGGAGCAAAGGGCAAGTGCCATTAAAACATTATTAGTTGTTCGAGGCTTTGGGTTCATTAAATATTAAGTGGCTCTTAAGCCTGCTCATCATATGGGATCTATGACGGCTTTGATTCAGGGAGTTTATGGTATAGTCTTTAAAAAATTAATGAAAGCTGTGATTGTAAAACATAGCGCTCTCTTTTATTGAGGTTTTAATATGATTTAGGGCATTCCCTGTCTATAAAAAAGGAGCAGGAGCACGCTCTTCTTCTTACTAGTCTCCTTATAGTTGGATATTGTGGAACAGCAGCATAAATGTAGGATAATCACTTTGCTCTCTCTCACACACATGCACAAACACAAACACACATACACACACAGAGAGGGGGGGAACAGTATGCACCAGCTGCCTAGAACTGATGCAAGTCCCACAGTTGCCTGCCCCAGACAATCTGAAGCTCTGGCTTTATTGACTGGCTTACAGAAAAGGACAATGTATAGAGGCTCATTAGACTGGAAATTGAATTTGATTTCAACAGAAATGATGGACTAGTGCCCTCCACCTCACTTTATGCCATAGTTTAGTTTAGAAGACCCAGCTCTGTTCCATAGGAGTGGGGAGCATCTTGGGCTCAGGCCAGACAGCAGGGGTGGGGCTGCTGCTGTTTGGTAGCAGCACCTCACTTGCCTAATGGAAATGCTTGCTGACTATCCTGAGGCAGAACTGAAATTGTATTTATTTTTATTTAATACAGTGGTACCTCGCAAGATGATTGCCTTGGGCAACGAAAAACTCGCAAGATGAAAGCGTCTTGCGAGTTTTTTGGTGCCCTGCAAGGCGAAGATATTTTCGTCTTGCGAGGTGCATTTTCTCATAGGAATGCGTTGAAATTTAATTAATTTGTTCCTATGGGATTTTTTTTAAAAGTCACTTACCAGACAGGGAGCTGGGGAAGCACCATTGGAGGACTGACGGGGGTCCCCTGCAATTGTGATTGCCATTTTCAGAAGTCCCCCAGCAGTCCTCCGATGGTGCTCGGCAAGCCTTCCCCAGCACCATTTTTGAACTTCCCAGCCTTTTCCCCAGACTTTTTCCTTTTGGAGGCGTGCCGAGCACCATCGGAGGCAAGCCTCCGAAAGGAGAAAGGCAGGGGAAAAGGGCTTACCCAGCTCTATTGGAGGACTGGTGAGGGTCCCCCACAACCGCGCTCGCTATTTTCAGAGGTCTCCCGGCTGTCCTCCGATGGAGCTGGGCAAGCCTCTGAAGCCTTCCCCAGCATCATTTTTTAACTTCTCGCCCTTTCCCCCTGCCTTTCTCTTTTCGCTTCAGCGGCTTGCCCAGATCCATCGCGGGACTGCTGGGGGAGCTCTGAAAGCAGCGAGCGCAGTTGTGGGGGACCCCTGCCAGTCCTCCAATGGTGCCTCCCCAACTCCCTACCTGGTAAGTGACTTTTTTTTTTTAAAAAAAAATTCCCATAGGAACACATTAATTATATTTCAATGCATTCCTATGGGAAAACTCTCCT